CAAAGTAATTTGTAGATTCAATGCTATCCCTATCAAGCTACCATTGACTTTCTTCATAGTATTGGAATGAAAAGAAGAGCCCATATAGCTAAGACAATCCTAAGCAAAAAGAACAAAGCTGGAGGCATCACGCTACCTGACTTCAGACTATGCTAAAAGGCTGCAGTAACAAGAATAGCATGGTACTGGCATCAAAGCAGATATATAGACCCATGGAACAGTAAAGAGGCCTCAGAAATAACACCACACATCTACAACCATCTGACCTTTGTCAAACCTGACAAAAGCAAGTAATGGGGAAAGGATTTTCTATTTATAATAAATGGTGTTGGGAACACTGGTTAGTCATTTGCAGAAAACTGAAACTGGACCCCTTCCTTTCACATTATACAAAAATTTACTGAAGATGGATTCAAGACTTAAATATAAGATTTAAAACCATAAAAACCCTAGAAGGAAACCTAGGCAGTACTGTTCAGGACATAGGCATGGGTAAAGACTTCATGACTGCAACACCAAAAGCAATTGCAACAAAACCCAAAATTGACAAATGGGATCTACTTAAACTAAAGAGCTTCTGCAGAGCAAAAGAAACTCTCATTAGAGTGAATGGGCAACCTACAGAATGGGAGAAAATTTTTGCAATCTATCCATCTGACAAAGGCTAATATCCAGAATTTACACGGAACTTAAGGAAATCTATGTAAAAAAAATCGCATCAAAAAGTGGGTGAAGGATAAGAACAGACACGTCTCAAAAGAAGGCATTTCTGTAGCCAACAAACAAATTAAAAAAAAAAACTCCTCATCACTGATAATTAGAGAAATGAAAATCAAAACTACAATGAGATATTATCTCACACCAGTTAGAATCGTGATCATTAAAAAGTCAGGAAACAGGGCAAGCATGGTGGCTCACATCTATAATTCAAGCATTTTGGGAAACTGAGACAGGTGGATCACCTGAGGTCAGGAGTTCGAGACCAGCCTGATCAACAAGGTGAAACCCCATCTCTACTAAAAATGCAAGACTAGCCAGGCATGGTGGCACATGCCTGTAATCCCAGCTACTCAGGAGGCTGAGGTAGGAGAATTGCTTGAACCTGGGAGGCAGAGGTTGCAGTGAGCAAAGATCACACCATGCAGTCCAGCCTGGGCAACAAAGAGTGAAACTCCATCTAAAATAAGATTTAAAACTACAAAAATTAGTTTTAGTGGCAGATGCCTGTAGTCCCAGCTAGTCGGGAGGCTGAGGCACAGGAATCCCTGGAACCTGGGAGGTGGAGGTTGCAGCGAGCCAAGATCAGGCCATGGCACTCCAGCCTGGGCAACAGAGCAAGATTCTGTCTCAAAAAAAAAAAAAAAAAAAAAAAAAGGATCAGGAAACAGCAGATACTGGAGAGGTTGTGGAGAAATAGAAATGCTTTTACACTGTTGGTGGGAGTGAAAATTAGTTCAGCCATTGTGGAAGACAGTGTGGGAATTCTGCAAGGATCTAGAACCAGAAATACCCTTTGACCCAGGAATCCCATTTCTAGGTATATACCCAAAGGAGTATAAATTATTCTACTGTAAAAGACACATGCACACGTATGTTCATTGCAGCACTATTTATAATAGCAAAGACTTGGAACCAATCCAAATGCCCATCAATGATAGACTGGATAAAGAAAATGTGGCACATATACACCATGGAATACTCTGCAGTCATAAAAAAGAATGAGTTCATGTCTTTTGCAAGGACATGGATGAAGCTGGAAACCATCATTCTCAGCAAACTAGCACAGGAACAGAAAACCACACACTGTGTATTCTCACTCATAAGTGTGAGTTTAACAGTAAAAACACATGGACGCAGGGAGGGGAACATCACACACCTAGGCATGTCAGGAGGTGGAGGGCAAGGTGAAGGATAGCATTAGGAGAAATACCTAATGTACGCAGGGTTTAAAACCTAGATGATGGGTTGATGAGTGCAGCAAACCACCATGGTACATGTATATCTATAGAACAAACCTGCACGTTCTGCACATGTATCCCAGAAGTGAAAGTATATATATAACAAAACCGCAATGAGATATCATCTTACCTCAGTCACAATGACTACAATTAAATGGGTGAAAAATAAAGAGCTGTTGGCAAGGATATGGAGAAAGGAGAACTCTTACACGCCTTTGGTGGGAATGTAAATTAGTACAGCTTCTATGGAAAGCAGTATGGTTCCTCAGAGAACTAAAACTAGAACTACATTTCCATGGAGCAGTCCTACTACTGGGTTATCTTCCCAAAGGAAAAGTAGTCAGTGTATCAAATACATATACCTTGATCTGTATGTTTATTGTAGCAACATTCACAATAACAAAGACATTGAATAAACCAAAGTATCCATGAATGAATGATTGGATTAAAAACGTAATTATATATACGCGATGACATACTACTCAGTCATAAAGAGAGAATGAAGTCACATATTTTATGGCAATATGGATGGAACTAGGGGTCATTTTCTTAAGAAAAACAGGCTAGATACAGAAAATCAAATATAACAGGTTCTCACTCATAAGTGGTTGCTAAAGAATGTGTTTACATGGTTGAAGAGAGTGATATGATAGACAATGATGACTTGGATGTGTGGGAGCAGAGGGGTTGAATAGTGTGATATTAATTAATAAATACAGTGCGTTTTATTTGAATAATGAATACCCTAATGTCGCGTCTTAAGCACTATAGAATGTATGTAACAAAACCAAACTTGTAATACATACATTTGTGCAAATAAAAGTTTTCAAAAATTGACGGAAAATCTAGACATACTGCTCCCCCATCCCCACCATAGAAAGAAGACTATGACCAGTGTGGCCATAGCAGAATGAATTAAGTATAGAGCAGACCCCAATTCCAGAGATAATTACAGCTCAATACATAGGACCTTAGCATAGCAAAAAATTAGCATCTTGATCTTAGAGAGTAAAAGTGGTGGCAATCAAGTGGAAAATATAGAAAAGTAATACAATTTTTAAATGGTTCTGTGGGGAATTCACTTTTGGGAAATAAATAGAGCTGCTATTTGATGTAACTTCAGCTGAGGCTTGCTGAGATGGGCTGATAGAGATGGAAGTGATGAAATTGGCTGCAGTAGGAAATGATTCTGAAGCTTGAACCTCACGATGATCACATAGCTAATTTGACTAGATGTAATGTGATGTAATAGGAAAAGAGAAGAGGCAAGAATAAATCCTAGTTTGCTTAGTTAATTAGGTGAATTATTTACCAAGACCAAATAGAGTTGAAGAGAAAGAACTTTGTAGTTGAAGGAGGGAAGAGGCAGAGGTGGGAGAAACCCCAGGAGACAGTGGGAGGTTCCTGGAAAGATTGATAGACTGTTCCCAAAACAAGGGTAGGATCAATGGTGTTAAACTGCTGAGGGGTGACAGGAGATGCAGGACTGAGAACTGATTCCTAAAATTGGTGGAATGGAGGCACTAGATGATCTTGACAGACTTGGAGTGGAAAGAACAAAGCAACTTTAATGTGTGTGTAAGAAAAAAATAGGAGGCAAGGGGATGGGCAAATAATTATATACATATGTGTTAAGAACTTTTACAATAAAAATGGCAGACAAATGATATGGTAGGAAAGAAGCACTAAGAGTCTTAGGAAGCCCTCTGTAGAAATGTAGCAGGTTTTTGCTGATGGAAATAATTTCATAGCGTATAGATGTAAGAATCAGGAGACAAAAGGGTCACATGCAGAAGCAAAATCCTTGATTGGGTAATTGGCACAGAATCAAGAGGGACGGTGAGAGATGGGGGTAGGGAGACTTCACCTATGTGAGCAGGAGAGAAGCCAGAGACCTGGGATTGATCCGAATGTGGGCTGGTCAACTTGATGGTGGTTATGGTGAGATCCTTCTATTCTGATTTTTCTGACTTTTTAGTGAATTATCTGAGGCTATCGGTGGGCACACGGGCAGTTTTCTAATACTGAACCCTCTTTGAGAAGCAGATATGCCAATCTCTGCAAGGTGTTTGATATGTACGTTATCTCATTAGTCTTCATCCTCTAAGGTAATTGCTATGATTATTCTCATTATAGATGAGGAAATTTAAGCTCTGAGAGACCAACTGGCAAGAGTCCAAAGCTAGCAAGAAAAAGAATTATGTCTTAACTAAAATCTGAGTGTCCAAATTCTTTGCTTCTTAAAACCATGCCACCTCCTTGATGAAATCCACTCAGTTTTCATTGAAGAATGGTGAGGAACTTCGGGAGGGAAAGAAGGGATAACTGTTAGAATCGGGTAAATGGGATAGAGCGGGTCCTGGGGATAAGAAGCATGCAACCATATTCATTCCCTTGAAAACCAAACTCAGTTTCTTCTAAATTATAAGGATTTCATTCAGCTTCTGGGACTTTTTTGCATTTGTTGTGTTTTTCATCCTTTAGATTACTGGAATATCACTGGATAATCTAAAAACAATGTTAAAATTTCAAGTTGTGCAATGGAAGTCAGGGACGGGCCAGGTGTGGTGGCTCACACCCATAAGCCCAACACGTTGGGAAGCCGAGGCAAGCGGATCACTTGAAGTCAGAAGTTTGAGCCTAGTCTGGCCAACAGGGGGAATTCCCATTTCAACTAAAAATACAAAAAAAAAAAAAAATAGCTGGCCGTGATGGTGGACACCTGTAATCTCAGCTATTCTGAAGGCTGAGGCAGGAGAATAGCTTGAACCCAGGAAATGCAAGTTGCAATGAGCCGAGACTGCACCACTGCACTCCAACCTGGGTGATAGAGCGAGACTCTATCTTGGTTGGTGGGGGGAATAGAAATCGGAAGTAGAGAAACAGGACAACATTTTCCGTGGAAGCTGGCTAAATTAGGATTAAGGAGGAAGAAAACTAAACTAATTACAATTAAGGAGAAGGGGTCGTAGATGTTTTTATAATGTGTTCTTGGTCCTCACATTCCACATTCACAAACACTGAGAAAGAGACCACAATCAGAAATTGCAAGCTGATTATTTTATTGGTATATTAAAGGTAAAGTTATGATGACATTGTTCCAATGTCATGGCATTTGATGCAATTGAATTATTTGAATAATGGATATCTTCTGATTCACTTCCTGAAAGAAACAAACAAGGAATTTCACAGAGCAGACTTGGGATGGCAGGAAATGTCTAATTCCTCACTGAGTTTCTGCAGTAGAGTACATGAGCCCACCCTCTCTCTCCATATCACTTCTACCTCTTGTTTCCTTCCTAATTTTTTCTGCGTTCACCCTTTTGGTGCCCTGGCACACAATGTGAAAGTGTTGCTTAGAAGACGAAGAGAGAAGATCATTCTTAGGTTGTTATGACTCCTTGCTGTTGAATTTGTTCAGGTATATATTTACACAGATGGTAACTGGAACATACTCTATAATAGTGGGAAGCTTAAACCACCCTGAGTGTCCAGTGGTGGATTGATTAAAGAAATCATGGCACAGCCACAAGATGAAGTAGTATAAAATTATAAAAACTAACAGAAAACCACTGAAGAAATGTACTTAATGTGGAAATTATCAAAGGAATGTATTTTTAAATGACAGACATATGTACCGGCATATAAATTATAGCAATAGTTCTAAGGGAAAAATATTACAAATGTCTAATACACATAAATATTTCAAAAAGAAGATGACATAAAGAGTGGTGGATTTCTGAAAGACTGCAGACAGGTAAGATGAGATATGCATTTAAATTTAGCTTCATATTTTTCCATTCCATTACATATTTTTTGTTAACTTAATCACGTACTTATTGAAAAGTAAGTATTTATAAAATGAGACACCATTTAGCTACCGAAAGTTCAGGGACCATTTTTCAGGAATAATGGACTAGAGAAGCTGGTGTGAGGCAGGACTGAGCAAACCATGCTTAAATATAAAACTTTAAATGATAGATCTCTGAGTTTGTGGTCAGAAACCAGAGCGCCAGAGAGAGAGAACATGGTACTGCTCCCTCGTTGCCAACACAATTTAAGACAGACTATTTGGAATGTTGTTTCTCAACATCAGAATTTCTTAAAGAGTTTGTTAGAAATACAGGGTCTTGTTACCCTATTCTGGAATATCTGAATACAAGTCTTTAGAAATAAGGTCTAGGACATTGCAATGTCAGCGGCTTTTAGTTGATTCATTGTCACAATAAAGCTGGAGAGCTACAGCACTTAGAGCCCTTGGTGAAGAATACGCTGGAATCATACCTGTCATTGAAGCCCAGATCACTGGGGAGGCTGTTCCTGGGGAGGCGGTCCCTGGGGAGGCGGTCCCTGGGGAGGCAGTCCCTGGAGACCTCTGGGTGGTCTTCCCCCTTGAGGAGGTGGAGGCGGTCCCTGGGGAGGTGGCCCCTGGGGAGGCGGTCCTTGGAGAGATCTGGGTGGCCCTCCCCCTTGAGGAGGTGGGGGTGGTCTGTGTGGCTTTCCTGGAGGAGGTGGCGGACCTTGGGGCTTGTTGCCTTCTTGTGGGGGTGGCCTCTGCTGAGGCCCATTATCCTGGCTTCCATTACCAGCAGGGGGCTTAGGTGGGTGTCCTCCAAAAGGCGGTCTCTGAGGCTTCTCATCTGAGCTCTGGTTTGAGTCTCCTCCGTCTGTGTGAAGTGACACCAGAAGAGCCAAGTTCAGTGATAGAAGAACCTCCTCCCTTTATACCTCTCTATCCTTAGCACACTGTCCCTGTCTCCCAGAACGTGCCTGTCAACTACTAACATCCCTTTTGCTTAAGGCTTTCATAGGCAGAGTTCCTTTCATCCACATCTGGGTCATGAAAAGTCTCATTTCTTTGTGCCTGGGACAAGTATGTCTATTAGAAATTAGCCAAAAAATAAAGATTTACAAAAAGGTCTTGGATATGTTAGAATCCCCAGATGGGGAAAAATATAAATGCACGAGAAACATCAGTCAAGCGGCCAGTCATGATCCCAACTGCCACAATAACTTGCTGACTGAATTCCTGGGCACCGGGCTCCAAGACCCAAGTAAAGAAATACAAAGACAGAGAAGAGAGAGACTGAAAGCCCACACAGGATTCACCGAATAGTGCGGCAAACTTTTATCAGCTACGGTAATGCAGCTGAGTGGGGAAATGTACAAAAATGAGACCCAGACACTAATTTCTTTGCATTTCCAGCGAAGCCATAGAACTCTGAAGTGGAACGCTGGGGGAGAAGGAAGCGGTTGAGGGGCTGTCAGTATAAGGAGGGGTCAGGATGAGGACGCTGCCCATTTGTCTGTCATCTCCCATCAGACACTCCCGGCCTGGGGGAAGGTCAGCCCACTCCTGTTGTCATCTAAGCCAAGCATCTCTGCCATTCAATTTGGTTGCCCTGCTCATGGTCCCAGAGTCAAGGCTGCATGAAGATAGGATGTATCACTGGAGCACTGACATTAATCAATTCCTGAAAGGAAAGTGTTGATGAGAAGACACTGGGGAACTGATCAATTCGTAAGCAGAAAAAGAGAGTCAAAACAGATTGAGAATGAACTGGGATTTACCTGATATTAGGGAGGGAGCTTGTTCCTGGCTGACATCTAGAAGAGAAGCACAGATGATGAGAAAAGTTACATCTGGAATCTTTCAAGACTCACAAGTGTTCTACAGGGAAACGGGACTTCTGACCACACCCATGCATCCCCTAGGTTAACTGGTCAGCCACCGTCTGTGAAGCTGCTGGAAGGGGAGGAAGGAGGAAGGTGTAAGGGGAGGCAGGGTTGTTACTCCACAGAGCAACAGCCATGAACTCGACACAGAAGCTCCCCTTTTCTTCCTCCCTAGGATCCCTCAAGACTTAATACAAATGTAGTTTACACATGCCAGACACTTCAGTGTGATATTTTGGTATTGTTATGCCCTAATTCTCCTATAAATATATTGCTTATGTTCATATGCTTTCTCAATAGGAGTAATCAGAAGTAATCATTTCAATACAGTCTTACCCATACCACTCCCAGCACATTGAAATGCTGCATGCAGGGGAGAGAAAAATGACAATGATTGGCTCTGATATTTCTACATCTCTAGGTAGACAGAGACAGGTGTTTTACCCAATTCTCTGTCTCTGCAGTATCTCTGATGTGTGTTTACCTTCATCATCGATGCTGATCCACCATCAGCAAGGCCACCATCATCCCATCTACTTACTGAGATGACGACAGGATCTTCACAGCTGGACTTCCCTGACTCTGTCTTGCATTCCCCACTGCATCCTTCACAGCACAGTCATATCTCTCTATAAATGCAAATCTTACCTTCTCGTTCCCCTGGTACACATTCTTTATTGCATTTTCATTGTATATTAAATAAATTAGAAGCCCTTGGTGTGGAATGATGACACAACAGGTCACCTGATCCTAGGCATGAAAACTCTGCAGCCCCTTCTGTGTTTTCATTCTCCTCTCTTTCCACTAATTACCGCTGTTACCTCCTAAGCCCCAACCAGAGTAACCGCATCTGCTCCCCCTTCTGTTTTACCTTCACTTAAGCTCTGAGCTGAGGTCAGGGCCAGGAGGGCCACTGATAGCAGAATCAGCAGCATCTTGCAGGAGGGTCTGGAGTTGCCCTCAACTCTGTGCTAGGAGAAACGTGGCAGCTCCTTTTATACAGAGGAGCAGAACAATGGCGACTTTGAGCTCCACACTGGATGGGACTCGCCACACCGAGACTGGGTTCTGCTTTGTTGATTGCAGATCAGATGTGTCCCTTATTTACCTTTGGGACTGTATCCCAGAGGGATGGATTGGGTGGATGTTGTTTGTGCCTTATTTCTAAAAGGTACAACTATGAATTGAACAAAGGCTTTAAAGGAACTGTGTCCAAGCAATCAGCACTGTGTCGTAATTGAAAGTCAGACATCATTAGAGTTTCAGTCTTTTTAATAAGACTATTATCTGCTTTTCACTGTACTGTTTATTGGTGTGTATGTGTGTATGAGCAGCAAAGCTCCTCATAGCCACCAGTGAAGATGGTCAATATATCTGGCTTTTTTTTTAGCCTATTTCCATCTCTTGTGATGTGTATGTAAAGATAATTTCACATTTAGCTACATTTTTGATGCGATAGTGATGGTTTCTGCTATCTGTGAGATGTGTGAGGACAGCACACCTCTGGGCACACAAAGATGACAGAAAGCTGTCCTGCAGCCTGCTCAGGGGATTGTCCAAGCTTCTCTGGATCTCACACAGCTCTGGCAAGGCTTGGTGTTGTGCAACATAAAAAGGCCAAAATTGTGAATTTTAAAGTATCTACAGGGGTTATTAAGGCAAAATGGACACAGAAACCACCACGAAATTCCGAGACCTGAGAAAACTGAACACACTGTTCCTTGAGGGAGCCACACAATGTCACATCGCCAAAACTTCTTTCATTCACTTCTTTTTCTCTAGGATATTCTATAAAATGTACCCTCTTCCTCATTTCTTCTTCACACCACTGATAATTAAGTAGCCACAACTCTACATTCAAATAAGGTAATCAGATACCCCCCAATAAATTCTCACTTGTATTGTATAGGTTTTCTTGGTTTAGTCACCGTTTGTGTTACCTGTTTTCTCAGATTGTTCTTCCACAAACAGTATTTTTTCTACAATATTCCCATATGCATTCCTCCCCACGTTCTTTCTGGTACTTCTTTGTTCATATTTTATGAGTCAAGTTCACTATGTGTATTTTAACTCACATATCTGGCTTTTCCCCCATGAATTTGGTGAGATTTCCTTTATTTAATCTTCTAAGTAACAGGCGGTAGTAGTCGTCACTATCTTTGTTTCATTCTTGTCTGTGTAATTTCACAATAAATGTTGTGTTTCCAAAAGCCCTAACAGAGTCCTGCCATGGTAGCTCTTGTTTCAGCTGCTGATTGTCCTGTTATACCTAGTAAATCCCTGCTCACCAGTTCATGGAATATACAGGCGAGTCAATATCAACAACTGCCATTTACCACTTAGACCTTCAGTGTGTCTCGTGTACTTGTTCACATTTTGTGTACAGCTGGTTTTAATTTGAGGACAGCTTGGTTGGAGGTATGATGAGGGTGGAGAGGATGTGTGACAGTAAATCATAAAGACAGACCTCATGACCACTGTGGATGGGTAGATCCTGGGCTGTGCAGAAGAGGGTCTGGTCTGGCCCTTCAGAAGGTTTACAGGTAATAGCACAGGAAGACTTCATAATATAAAACATTTTGCTACAGTACTACAGGTAACTTTGCCCTTGCAAGGGAACCAGGAAGATCGCTATTTTCCATGGCATAAATATAGGCATACTTGAAGGGGAAATACATTATTAATTGGCAATTCTTCTCTGGTTTGGTAGGAAGTGAATTGGTTCTAGCTGAGCTTCATGAACTTTATCTTAGGCAGAGAGTAGTTGCTTGGTCCAGCAGGTCCCACCGTGTTATCGAGATTTGTGTCTCTGGTCTCACCAGACACTATTTTCCATAGGAAATGGAGATGAGCAATCCTGCCTAGGTGGCTTACGTTAGATCATCAGGTAACAAAGGAATGTCAGAGAAAAGGAGCAGCAAAGACGCCAGGCAAACATTGCCTGATAACGTGGCCAACTGAGGTTGCTGCAGGCCTGATGCAAGACAGACTTGACATTGGAGGAGAGAACAGGAAGAGAACAGGTAATGCCCCTAAAGGTCACTCACCTCAGGCCCTTTTTCTGACCTTCTCCAATGTCAGAAATGAGCAAAGTGTTTTAGGAAAGCATAAATATCAGCTATGCACTCCAGACACAACAAAAACAGAAGTGATGGAAGAACTGAAAGGACAATGTCTGTGAGTGAGGGTGGGTGGAAGGGAGAAGCAGGACTGCAGCAGGCGCTTGGGCACCTAGAGGTGAGTGGCAGCCCTCAGCACTCCACTTGCCTTCTATAATGGATGTTCATATTCTTAGGTTCTGCAGTAACAGTGTTCAACATGTGGAATTTTAGGAAACACAACTCAGCCCTCATAACAACTCCCAACCTTTTCTAAGTCACAGGTGTTCAGTGGCTCAAAAATCCTCACTTCCTTTACCCACTGACCATTAGCAAATTGTCTTGCCTCCAGTTTCAACATGCATTCAAAATGCAATTACATGCATAATCTTTACTAGAAAGTATAGCTGAGGCCGTGATGCTGTCTCCTGAAGGACGTTCACATCCTCAGCTGCTCTTGGTAACGTTCTACCCCAGCACGTCCCATGTCAATTCCCCTCATATCAGTCATTTAACAGTAGGAATTAGATCATAACACTTTTATGCTTCAAATGCTCTTAGGTTTCCTTCTGTACTTGTAATAAGATCCAAATTTCATCCTCAGCTCTCTCTTACCCACATGTCTCTCTCTTTGTGACGACTGTGAATGGAACAGAAAGCAGAATCTTCCTCAGCTTACTGTGTTCATTGCATAAACTAACCATTCTGATAATGCAGTTGTGTTTGAGAATTCAGCTTTGCTTTGACTTGTCTAAAAACTTTGGTTACACTAATATGATAGTCATCTTTATATTTTTATTTGATGTTAATGCTCCATAAACATATATTTCACAATTTGAGCATATTTATATTCTTTCCATTTATCCTAGCAAAGGCTGGTTATAATAGAAAACATTTCGTGAGCATTTACTATATAATATGAAATCTTCAGAATCTTCATGTTAGGGAGGTGTAATTGTATTATTTTCTTAATTTTGTAGATAAGGCGACTTAGGTGCGTGTCTAGTTTCGTATACAGGTAGTGGTCAGTTCTCAGACCTGAGTTCTTGCCTACGGGGCTCCACCGGTTACTTCTTCTTCATTCATTCATTTCTTTACTAGAAAGTGAGAGGAAATGAGGTTCAGAGAAATAAGACAAGTTTCTCTTGGAATATTTCCAAGGTTAAATTTTCCTAAGCCTTTAATAGATAAACTGAGAAAAAAAACATATTGTCCTGAGTAAAAATATTTATTTGAAATCATAATCACATTTTAAAAGTTTTCTAGTTTATTGAGAGTTTTTAGTACAAAGGGCTGTTGAATTTTGTCGATGGCCTTCTCTGAATCTATTGAGATAATCATGTAGTTTTTATCTTTGGTTCTGTTTATATGACGGATTACGTTTATAGATTTGCCTATGTTGAACCAGACTTGCATCCCAGTTAGAATCATGCAAATTGAACCAACTGACAAATTGCAGTGTTGGCTATTGTTGGTACTGCTAGTCATCACTCATCTTCTCTTAGAGTATAAAGAAGATGAATTTATTCCTGGCAATCAGATGTGAATCATCTGTCACTGTAGGCTTTAGGTTCAACATTAACTCATTCCTTCTTGAAATGAGGAACGCGTCATTGGATATGTGAACTGCTGATGTCAACTTACCACGTGCCAAGTAGGACGACTTTTTGGGCACCATCAATGATTTCACCTTCTTCCACCCCAGCTTCATCATCAATCTGATGTTCGTACTCAGTGTAATTTTAGAAGAATTCATGTTGTTCTTGTAGGGGTTCTTTTGAAACTGGTATCTTATTTTTCTAGATGTCTCAAACTAGCTCCTGTTCACACATGTTATAGCAAGTCTTTCTGAGTTCTTTTTGGTGCAAAAAAATTTGGAATCCATTCGTGGTATTTCCTAATAGAATATACATTTTCCATTAACATTTTAACAACCCATTGCATTTAGGAAGGTATCCTAATACAATAAGGTCTACTGCAGGTAACTTAGACTTTTCCAGCTGACTAGACAGCTTGGTTTCTTGGTTCTGCCCTAGCATAAATAGGCATGTGTTTTGAAGGTGGAATATAACACTGGTGGCCAAATATTCTCCAGCTTCATGAAAAGTGTCACATTCGTAAATGAGCTTCACATGCTTTAAGAGAGAAACAGAGAGCTTGGCCCTAGCGGGTGTGCTGATGTTCTTGAACGATTTTCTCCGGCATCACGAAACATTATTTGGAAAGAGACGCTGTAGATGGGCAGTCTGACCTAGGTAACTCATGGTGGCCCATCAGATAGGGAAGGAAGGCAAGAGAGAAGCAGAGGGGAGTGCCAGGCAGATGTGCCTCTGTGGTTGAGTCACTGGGGAAGCTGCAGTCCTGGTTGGAGGCAGGCTTCTCCTCATCTGCTGAGTACAGGAAGACAAGAGGTGATGCTTCCAAATATCACTCAGCTCACACCCTATTCCTGACCTTCTCCTATGTCAGAAATGAGTGAAAGAGATTGCATATCAGGAAGGAGTAAATATTAGGTACAAAGCTACCAAAGACAACCAAAGCAGAGGTTACCAAAGAACTGAAAATGACAGTGTCACTCATTTAGGATGGGGTCAAAGCAGGGAGCAGGATTACAACAGGAGCTTAGGCACTTGTACCTGAGTCAAACACCTCAGCAATTCACTTGCCACTTAAAATAAATGTAAACTTATTTGTGCCAAGCAGGACTCTTGATTTCTGTGTTCTAAAACCTGTTCTCCCCAGAATTTCTTCATTATAGCTGTCAAAACAGAATATCACAGACTGGGCATTCTTAAACAACAGAAATTACTTCTCAACAGTTCTGGATGCTCAAATTCCACAATGAAGGAGCCAGCAGGCTCAGTTCTGCTGGGGTCTGTCT